AAAGAAGGAAAGATGCAGTCAGAGAGGATCTAAAGAAAATGGGGGCGAAACAATAAGAATTAGTAAATCAGGGTTTACAAGAGTGGGTGGTAATAATACACACCAACAAAGACTCACGAAGTGATGATGCCATTGATGTTAATAATATATACTTTAGATCTCTTTTTGTCTAGTGAGTTCATGTAGTCGATTCACTGTCAGCAAACTGTCTCTTAGATATAAGCCATTATCACATAACACAACAACATTTTTATGTTGCAACGATAAATAATTATGATCCCTATACAAAGTTTAGTCGTCACCGACTCAATAACAGTATCTCACTGTTAAATGAACTTATATTCTAAAAATACTCTTTTGGGTGACATCACAGAACGTTTACTTTATACGCAATTCTGTTTGGTCATTGGCGGATTATTACCTCTATAGATGGTTGTCACTCCATCTTTTGCGCGGTCGTCCGATACTTCTTCTGCCGACTGGTGACTTGTCTTTTGCTATTTTGACGTCACTGGTCTCCTTCATTCTACTTATTTGGTTATTTCATCCTTTTTTTTTCTATTTTGTGTCCATGCATTTATACACTGTACGTTACATTTTCTTCTTATGTCTTCACTTCTCTTTTGATCTCTCAGCGTATTTCCTGTAATTCTTCTTAGTACTCTTATCTGTGTCGTTTGCAGTAGCCTTTTTCATATGCCATTATTGATCTTACACTTGCTTTATAAATTCTTGATTTCATCTCAGTGTTATTGTGTCTGTTTTGCCATATAGTGTGTTATTAAGGCATCCTGCCAGTCTATTTAATTTTTGTGCTTGATCTCTCACTTCTTTGTCCAGGTCTTCATAGCAAGACAGTGTACTTCCCAGGTATTTTATTTCCATTACTTGTTCAATACTGATGCCATCAATTTTTATCTTACATCTGGTTGATTTTTTGCTGACTACTATTGTTTTAGTTTTCTGAAGTGAAATTGTCATATTAAATTCTTTTGCTCTTATGTTAAATCTGTGGACCAGTCTTTGCAGACTATCTTCATCTTGGGCTATCAATATTGCGTCGTCTGATTAACATAGTATTTTGATTTCTTTGTTTTACATTCTGTATACTCTTCATTTGTTAACGCTTTTAATGATTTCATAAATGATCCAATTTAAGAGGATGGGGCTCAATGAATCCCCTTGTCTTATTCCGCTGCCTATTTCTATAGGTTCTGTAAGTTGTCCATTTATTCTTACTTCCACTTTGTTGTTTTGGTAGATGTTTTTAATAGTTTTTATAATATTTAGGTAAGTTTAGCTCCCCAAATATTAAGGTATTATACAGAAGATGAAGATATGCATTACATCTTTGAGTCTTACTCTGTCAAACGCTTTCTTTAGGTCAAACAGAAATATATATATATATATATATATATATATATATATATATATATATATATATATATAATTATATATTTTATATATATATATATATATATATATATATATATATATATATAATAGAACAGAATATATATATATATATATATATATATATTATATATATATATATATAAAGCATATATAGAGCATCAAGCTTCAGTGAAAACGCGCCATCAAGTTCTATTTTACGCTAAGGCCTTCACCTCATTCCAAGACTTTCCTTGGCCTCTTATCTCGTCCATGATGGATCTGCTCCAAGTTTGTACTGGGCGACCTCTCTCTTTTTCTTTTTTCTTAGGGATTCCACTCTAGGGCAGTCTTTGCGATACTGGAACTATTTTTTCTGAGTGTGTGACCAATCCAACCCCAATTTCTGGACTTAATTTCATTTTGTACCCTCTTTTGTTCGGTCAGGTGTAGCAGATCTTCGTTTCTGATGGTGTTAGGCCAGAATATACGAACAATTCTTCGCAGACATTTGTTAAAGAAGACCTGCAGTTTGTCTGTGAGGGTGTTTGTCACTTTAACGGTTTCACGTCCGTAGAGTAGAACAGACATGACATTTGATCGGATTATTCGGATCTTGTTCTATCTTATTCCAGTCCTTGTAGTATACTCGACAGATCTTCAAACAGGGTTGAGCGTGCTGAAAGCTTGTTGTGCTTTTCGTATCCTCATACGAATATTGTCTTCTGTTTTCCACTTTTTCAATCTGCAAATTGTCGATAGTAAATAGCGTGTTGTTTCTTGCATTTATTCTCATGGACTTGGTTTTACTAATATTGATTTTCAAACCTATTTTATTGGCTTCAGTGGAAAGTGTTTCCAATTGGTAAGCCAGATCTTGGAACCTTTGACCTAATAGGCAGATATCGTCCGCGTATTCTAGATCGCTTAGTCGTGTGGTTAACGTCCATTGTATCCCTCTTGTGTCGGAGTCTAGTTTGGAGAGAACATAGTCTATAGCTATGTTAAAAAGAAACAGAGAAAGCACGCATCCCTGTCTAACTCCAGTTAGTACGTCGAATTCGTCACTGTTGATCCCATTGTGTGTCACAGTATATAGTGACTTTATAATAGAAATTAATTTTTGCGGGATGTTTCTTAGCTCTAAAATTTTCCATACAGCAGCGTGAGACAAGCTGTCAAAAGCACGTTCAAAATCAACAAAAACCATGTATTGGGGTGTGTTCCATTCAACCGATTGTTCCATTATTACCCTCACAGTATTATTGTGGTCTACATAGGAGGATTCTGGTCTAAAGCCTGCTTGATTAGCTCGAAACTCAACCTAATTTTTTCAGTATGATGGTTGTGAAAATTTTATTTATGACAATAAGCAAGGTTATTGCTCTCCAATTTTTGCACAGCTTAAGGTTGCCTTTTTTGGAAGCCTGATAATGTTACTTTTTTTTCAGCCCGCTGGAATGTGGTTTGTTTTCCACACCTCTCGAATTATGGAGAGCAAAAGTTCAGCAGTTAGATGCGGATCAGCTTTAAGTATTTCAGCAGCAATGTTATCGATTCCCGGTGACTTGTTGTTTCTCAGAGATTTGATAGCTATTATTATCTCTGTTTTGGAAGTGGCCTCGCAAGAAATATGCAAGTCTATATTCTGCGGGTTTTCGACAATTTCATCTGCGTTATCTCTGGGAATACCTAGCATCTCCTGAAAATGCTCTTTCCATCTCTCTACTTGGTCATCTGTTGTAGTAAGTAATTCGCCTGTCTTGGATCTTAAACTGTTCGAACAGTTGGACCCATTTTTTGTTAGTCGTCTAGTAATTTGGTAAAGCTCCCTAGTTCTGTTGTGTTGTACAGCTGTTTCTGCTTGTTTTGCCAGTTCTTCGGCCCACCTTCTTTTGTCTCTTCTTGCTTTTCTTTTAACTGATTTATTTATTGTTTGATATTCCTGTTGTCGGTTTTTTTCTTCTTTCTACAGTTCTTGCTTGCAGGATATCTTTTTTTTGGTTGTTTTTTTTTCCTCGATAAGATTCCATGTTTCATCTAATATCCAATGGTCTATTATACTTTAATAATTTCTCAGTAATTTGCTTTATAACAAATATTGAATCAGTTCACGATATTCAACTACGAAAACCCTGTTGTTCATCTGCTACACTTTTCCTTTGATTTATTAAGACTTGAAAATTTAGTTGTTAGTTTTAGCGTAGTATTTAACAAGTTTATACCTCTGTAGTTTTCTGGCTGTTTTTATTTCCTTTTTTGAATAGTAGAATTTGTTCGCTCGTTTTTCATTCTTCCGGTACATTATTGTGTTTTATAATTTAATTAATTAATATTCTTTTTGTGGCAGCTGTAGCTTACTGGCTATGTTACTGGCTTAAAAAACAGGAGGGCCCGGGTTCAAATCGCGGCACCGACAAAATTTCCAATTTCTAATTTAACTGAGCTGTCACTGTGCTTCGGAGGGCACGTAAAGCCGTCGGTCCATGCTACGAAAGTAGTCGTTAAGTCATGTTAGGGGCGCTTGCGTGATCTGAAAACCCTAACACTATACCTTAGCCAGATGGTTACACGAACTTTACTTTTTTTCAATTAATATTTTTAATTGTTCTGTCACTGCTGCTTCACAATATAACTTGTTTGGTATCCTGTCTTTACCTGTTGCTTTTCTGTTCATTAGGTTTTCAAGTATTTTCCGAACTTTGTGTACATTTATATTAAGTTCTTCATTTGTGGTTATTTCTGGTGTTTCCGGTTCTAGCGTCGTTTGCTCTTCCTCTGCATATAGCTTTTTGGGTAGTTAATCCACGTATCCTTTTCTATGTGTTTTGGTTCTATTAGTTCCTTTACATCCGTTCTTTGACCTCTTATGAAGCGCCATATTTCCTTTTGCAGGTCGTAAAAATCATGTTCCATTTCTTTTGAAAAGCGTTCCCAGTGATCATTTTTTATTTTTCTTACAAGTGCATGTGTTTCGTTTCTAATTGTCTTGAAATTATGGTATGCCCCTTGTGTTTTGATTGACATGCATGTAAGGTAAACTTTTTTCTTTTCTTTACATTTTCCGTCACTTCTGTACAAAACCATGGAGTTTTTAGCCTTAAGAACGATCTATTTTTATTTATATGTTTTTCACCCTGAACTTTCTGGGCCGAGTCTGAGATATTAGACTTAATTTTTTTCAGCTTTCTTCGACTCCATGTCTTTCTGTGATATATGTATCTGTGTTTTTTGCTTTTTTTTTCGATACATTTAAATGATGTTATAAACAGATTTACTTCATGACAACGCATGAGCTTAAGAGGTTTCAGAGTTAAAGTATGTATCTTAATGTGATATTAGCCAATAATGAGTTAAATAAAAATGTTAAAATTATTTTATATATTATTGTTTGTAACAATATTGTTGTATTGTTTATGTTGGGTTAAGGTATAATAATCCCTGAAAGATTATGTTTGAGATTGTAAAACAAATGTATGCAACAAATATCTAATATAATAAAAGCAATAATATAATAAAAGAATAAATAAAGTTCAAACTGAAACGTTTTATTTTGAAAATATTTTGACCCTATTTTTTTTTGTTTCAGATCATCACACCCATAAAAAATGATAGAACTAACAAAAAAGCTCGCTTCTTTTTATCCAACGTATGTATTGGCAATAGTCTCCATAGGATATATTTGTGGAGAATTGGGTCATTATCTTATAGGAGTAACTAGTAAAGCAATAGCTCAAGATTTGCATTTTGGAGACATAGCTTGCCAGTTAAATTTAACAGATGTCTATTTAAGTGAACTGCCAGTATTATGTTCAACTGCCAACGATTCAGAGACGTGTGCTTCCCTGGTGTTAAATGGCACAAGGTAATGTATAGTCAATTATTTATATAGTCCGGTCGGGATAACATTTGACCTAGCCTGGCAAGTTGCCCCAAATTTTATTGTTCTGATCTTGAGAGGGCGGATGCCTAAAGTAATGTAAATTTAAAATTGCGACTTTAAAATCTCCGCAATTTTCAGTTTCTCGACAAAGATTTCTGCAATTTTTTAAAAATTTTTTCGTGATGATGATATTTTCCGAATGACGGCAAAAAATGGTGGTTTGGTGGAGGGGGTTGATAGCATAATTATTAAATTATCTTTTTTATTATTTACTTTACGACGTATACGCATACAAGCAAAAATGAAGAGAATTATATTTTATACCTTATATTAAAATATAATCTCTATACACAATAACACAAAACAATAGTATTATCCATATTATCTTAAATACCAAAAAGACCCCTAGTTATATTCTAATTAACGTAATAATCTTTAGGGGATTACCAAGAAAATTCCCACTTTATCTACATAACTGTATAATGATGTGTTAAGAATATTTCTCTCTAATTTTAAAAATAGTAATTGATTCATATCAATTCAATCAATTCTTCGTTTGCCATACATATCGTTTACCAAATTAAAGTCGTTCAGCAATACACACTCTCACCTTGTCATCCCCACACTCTTACACGTCTATCGCAGATCGTACGAGAATAGCGATTTATCGGAACGTAATAAACAAGTTCATTACAGTAGCTCTCTCGAAAAATTAATTCAGCAGCATACTGTTATCTAACTTTCCACTCACCTATGCCCACATCTCTCAGTTTTTGTAGATGGTATTAAAGACAAACTGCTGTGACCGCAGGAGTCCTTTTTTGTATGCTTCTTGTAGATTATTCCTAAAAGGAACTGCTGTGATCGTTTGGTTTACTAAAGCACTAGGCATAGAAAGCGGTCATAGCCAGATGTTGTATCGTGGTCATCGTTCTGATCCAGGTTTTCGAGTGATCAGACCAGTCCCTTCGTACTAGATGCATCTCTTATTGCACATTCGAGAAACTTATACCCAACGTTTAGCGCTGATAGTGTTCCTATTCTAAATCCACCACAGAAATAAAAATTTTGCTATGAATAAAATTAATGGGAAAATCCCAGTAGTTAGCTGTATACCATAGTTCTCCGTCCGGCTCGTGGAGATAAGAATACGGCGGGGGCCAGAAGACCCTGCCTGTCGTAAGAGGGGACTAATGGGCGGATATGAGACGTGAAGAGCTGTTTTTTGGGGTGTCGGGTTGGTAGAAACGCACAGAGATGCTTAGTCATCTCAGTCACCGGTCTACATTCCTAGTATCCGAGACAAGTATCTCGTGGGACCACTCTACTCTCATTTTCCACAAGAACCAGGTGAGGTTAAACGAGCCGGGTACGTAAATACCTCCCAAAGCCGACACCGCTGAGGGTGGTGTAATTTGACTCGGCACGTACCCACCTTGGAATGATTTACGAGTGGTAGAGGAGTGATTCCTCGGCGGCGATCTGTCTTTGTGCGAGGTGGTATTCCACCACCTGCGTGGTTTTCCGCCTCCGAGAGGGGGGGAATCACGGAAGGGTGCAACACAGGTACTTCGGGAGAGGTGGAGCCCCACGATGTTTCGGCATCGTGCCACCTCCAATTGGTGTCGGACTCGTAGGGGCAGTGGGAGCGCTAAAGGTCGTATGCCGAAAGACCAGGTAGACCAAGGTACTGCCAATTTTATAATTGGGGGGCACAAAGCTTCGCAATGTATACCATAGTTAAAAAACTAATACAGAAGTATATTGTATAATTTGTATATTGGTATAAAAACATTTAATTAAAACTGTTAAAAATGTCGTCCGAACATTATAGATGTAGGTATAACGTTTTCGATCAAGTCAAATCATCCTCAGTGATTCTTTTGGTACTTGTAACTAACACTAAAATTGCAGTGGAGATATCAATAAATAGTTTACATATTATTTAAATTTAAATTATAATGCGACCCTAAGTCAATGACAACGGTTGTAAATGTTAATACTTAACTAATGCTTTGCTAATAATGGTGTTAAAGCATTTGAATCGAGGAGTCCTTTTGTAACGTAAATATTAAAACATTTGGATGGAAAGAAAGGAGGCCCAGAAATTTGGTATTATTGTGGTTTAAATATAATTCTCTCTATTAATAATATATAACACTGTAGAGAAATCCTTTCATAGTAATGTGATTGTGATGTCTTGTGATGTACAAGATGATGCAATTGCATCGTCCACCGATTATTTAGCTTGGCATATCTGTAGACGATGGTACATAATAGCTTATTGGCTCATTACCTCTTAAAAGACAAGCGTAGAAGATCCTTTGCACTCAACCAAGAATGATGTAGACAACAAATTTTGACAACAGTTTTAATTGATCTTAGACAATTTTATCATGTCAGAGACGTCCATGTCAATACCCAAATGTCAGATCTTGTTAAAGGAAATGAGTACTGCCTAGATCGCAATGACGATCATATTGAGTACATTTTAATGACAGAACAATATAAAATTAATATTAGTTCAATTTTTAATGCATTTTTCATGTTTAGTTTATGTCACAGTATTCAATGTTTGAAAAAAAAAATGAATTTTATTAGAAACAGCTTTAAACGCCAAATTTTAGTTTCTTTGGGATAATCATTTTAAAAAAGTTTTTTGACACTTATATCATCATCATGGTCACCATTCGTGACATAGCTCGTTGTGAGCCAAATAAGAATTTGTTCTTTAGAATAATCCTCTATTGATCTCCGTCCCTGGCATCTCTTCACCCATGGTCTACCTCCAATATATTTTAAAGAATCCTCTAGGTTGTCTTGATACGTTTCGGTCTTTCTTCAACTCGTTGTCTTATATGCCCCTTTTCGGTCGAAAACTTTTCTGACTGTTGCACCTTCCTCTCGCCTGATTACATACCCTATCCTTTATAAGGCGTGCTACCCTAATGAATTTTAGAATTTCAGGTTCCACAAAAAGCAACAAGACCAGTGAACATAAAAATGGAACTCCTGAAATATGGAAGGGCAAGAATCGTATCATTTATACGAGTGTTGTTTAATAAAATCGCAACAGGAGAGGAAATACCAGAGGAGTGAAAAAATCTATCATACATCTCCTCTAATTTTAAAAAAGGTAACAAAAGGTCACTAAATAACTATAGAGAGATCAGTGTAATGCCTTTAATGGCAAGAAACTCTTTTCACAGTAATAAAAAAATACACATGGATCATTGTGGCCAATAACAAGCTGAATTCCGAAAAGTCAGATCATGCCTTGATAATATGTTATTCATGAAACAGGTAATAGAACAGAAAAAGAAAAAAATATTGAAACACATATGACCTTTATGGACTTAGAGTAAGCATATGATAGCATGTCCAGGAAACAACTATGAGAAGCAATGAGAAGAATGCTCGTTAGAAAGAAATGGGTGCATATAACACAAAGACTGTATATGCTACAGACAGATGCTGCATATCTGCTGCTTCAACTTTAACAAATGGTCGGGTTCTGAGTCCAATTTACAGTCTTTTATGTGCTTTTTTTAAGAAATATCTTAAAATAAAATTGTGAATTTTTTCACCAATATGGGATATTCTCAAGTAGTGGTACTTTTTAAAACTTGTCTTATATCGTTGTCTCCCTTTTTGTAATGTGGAAACTATACCTAATTTCCAGTCTATGGATGTTTCTTTCTATTGCCAGATTTGAGATTCATATGTTTGCAAAGGATGTCCCCGCAGTTTTTAAAAAGTTTTCACCCGCAGTCCCCTGCAGTTTATTTGACTTGTAGAAGCCTCCGTATTATTTCATGATTGCCATTAAGCAGCACTTCAAAATGATTAGCCCATCCGTTTGGTATCTATTTGTTGTCATTTATGGCACAACCATCTTTACAGGCTATTATTTTGGATTTCAATTCTTTTTACAGTTACATATCTGTTACTAAAATTTTCGTGAGTCTTTTTGTTATGGTGATTAGAATGGTTTCATATTGCTCTTTCTTTTTCCTTCTAAAAGTTAGTTTTTCTTCTTGTCGAAGGTTTTCATGATCTTCCGGAGTTATTCTCGTTCTGCGCTGTTAAAGTCTCTTATACCCCTAATCTTTTGTTGATTAATAAGATTATATTGTTCATCGAATCAATCTTCGTTTTTCTGATCTTGTTAGATTTAAGAACGCCTTTAACTGATGTATGCATCGATTTTTAGTCCAGTGTTCTTCTATGCTTAGACTTTCTCCTATTTTTGGTACCGCTTCGTTTAAAATTTGCAAGTAAATGTATCTTGCTCTATTTTAGCACCTCAATATTAAATTTCGTAGATTTTTTGCTGTGGCCTTTTTAGTGAATTTTAGTAGAGATGTACTTGGTTTAAGTTTGGCACTTACAAGGTTGTGGTCAGTGTTTACATTATGACTTCTACAGGCTCTTACGTCGGAGAAATGATGAATATTAATCAGTACATAAATAATTTAGTTTTTTATCTGTAGTTCCCATTCTTAATGATGCTACAAGTTTAATAAAGCGTAAACCATTTTGGTTTTTGGGTACATGAAGACCGTGCTTGTCGGTAGATAGTTGGTGGGTAGATTGTCTTTTGACCGACGTTAGCGTTAAGGTGACCACTAATAAATTTTCTGTTTTGTTCTGGCATTGCTTAAAAATGTTTTTTAGATTATCATAGGATAGGTCCTTCTTCTTGTCTTCTTCATCTTGAGCGGGATCATGGATATTGATAATATTGTAGATAAAGAACCTGTCGTTATTTTGGATTCTATATATCCTTAAAGTTATTGTGTCGAAAGCTATGACCGTTGATTTTACATGTTTGTGAAATGTGAATCTCTCACCAAAAATGTGATTGGTTTTATCTCCGATTTAGTAGAAAATGTAGCCCTTTTTGTCCTGGCTACCACTATCTTCCTTAGCTTATTTTTTCCAGTTTTACGGCGCCGGACATTCATCTCTCAACCTTACTA